TTAATTATAGCTGTAATAAATTGCTTTTGCACATAAAATGAAAATTTGATATTCTTTCTGTTATGCAAGGGAAAGAAGTAGTAATGGTTAACATTTATTATTTGCTATGAAGAAACTGAGGCTTACAAAGATATAGTAACTTGTACAAATTTATATTATGTTTAAGTGACAGACCAGGATTGGAACCCAAAATGCTACCTCCACATTTTATGTAGTTAATAGCTACTAGCATCTACTGAATAGAAGGAAAGGTACTTTTCAAGCTCTTATAGATTTTTGTTCCTTTTACCAGCTGACAGACAGCTGTTCTACACAAGGTTTTATTTATTTATTTTTCTGTGGTTCAGGCAGGTAACCTGTGAGTGTTAGCATTACCTGGTGGGAATTTCATAGTATTAATGGAAATGAACTTAAGACTATAGTCCTTATCAAAGTTATAGTCTTGGGCAAGTTACTTTACTTCCTTCAAATTCAGTTTTTTCACCTTTAAAAATGAGAATAGCAGTTACTACCTCATGGACTTGTTGGGAGCCTCGAATAGCTTATGCACGCTAAGTACTTAGGAACGACCTTGCTCATAATCGGTTACTCAATAAATGTTAGCAATCTCCTATTGTTTGGCAAAGTGAGCATTTTTCCTTTTGAAGTTCCAGTTGATGGGGCAGCAATATATTTTATCTGCTTCATTTTCCACCTAAGGATATAATCAAAATTATAATAATATTTAAATATGAGGATAACAAACATTTATTGTTTGTTATTACGTTCCAGGCTCTAAAATAAGTGTTTTACCGATCTTATGTAATTCTCACAATAACCCTCTGATTAGGTATCATTATTACCTACTTTTGGAAACTGAATTATGGGGAGGCTAGGTAAAGCCAGTTGGGGACTTGAGATTGGAATCCTGGTGGGCTCACTCTAGAGCCCATTCCCTTAGTCACTGAGTTTTGGGAATTCCATGGATAAAAGAAGAGAAGTACACTTTTGGCAATTTCTAAGACCAAGAGTCATTTTGTTGTTGAGGGGGAAAAAAAAGTAAATCAAGGTAGACCCATGAGAAGGGAGCACACCTTTAAGACCAAGGCTTTTAACCAAAATTCTATATCATTTCTATATTTCTAATTATATCTTCAATTCTGCATCCCAAAGCTCTGTAGATCTGCCTTAGAATCAGGTCTCTGGAGTACTGGGAAGCCACACTTCCCTTCCTCTGGAATGTCGATCCTTGTCCCACTCTGAACTGCAAGACATTGGACTTGATAGAATCTTGGGAATAAAAGGCATTCTGTGGGCCCCTTTAGTTCATTTTTAAAACTTTTTGAAAAGACCTTCCATTTCAGATAGATGAAAATCTTATTTTCAATCTTCCAGAGCATCCTATTGCCCTAACAACCCACCGCTTCATTGCACTTGTCATAAAACACTTAACAAGTGAGTTGATATTCAGAATTCCTTATGCCATGGCCGAAGTTGGTTTCCTGGGGGGGCATTGGGGCCAGTTGATCATGATTTTTGATCAACGCCTCAACCTTTTATTTATTTTCTTCCTATTTTTTACAGGAGTGGGTAAATAGTCCTGGTGGTTTCTATTTTACTTTTCTACTCCTTTGAAACCCAGGTAGAAGGAAGTGACTTCATATAAATGACTTTGGAATTCAATCTTCTGATGGCAGAGAAAATTAAGTGGAAAGAGAATTTTAGATTTGGGACCTGATTATAGATTTGTCACTTTTTTCTAATGGGCTGTGTGGCCTTGAGTAAATCACTTCACCTCTCTGGTCCCAGTTTCCTTACCTGCGAGTGAGGTATTAGGATTACATGATCTCAAAGGTTCCTTTTAGTTTAAAACTTCTAGTTTCTACATGATAACCCCACAAGACTACACTTGTTAAATCTTCTGCACGATGGCTAAAAGATTATCTATTCTTTTGTTACAGAATTTTTTGATACCTTCTTGTCTGAAGAATCTCCAGCTGCTCTTGATGATAGCCTAAGAAGACCACATGCTGTTTCCTCTCGATGCCAAGCCAGGCCCACTCAGAACCTCGGATCTCAGTCCTTCATGGAGACCAGGTCCCAGCAGGAATGGCAGTACAGGAAATTGGCACCCAGATGGTTCCTCCACGTGAAGTTGTCTCGGGCTATGGGCTGATGAGAGAACACCTGGTAGCCAGGTTAACCCCCTGTCAGTCACCCGGGGCAGGGCAGCATGGCGTGGATTCAGAGGAGGAAGTTTTTGGCATCTTGCCTGTGCATCACGGCTACCATCTTTCTGCTCGTCACACTCCAGGTACCAAGAATTTGGGTTGTGCAGTGTTGGTTCCTGGGCCTTTGCCATCTGCCTCTCCTGCCCCATCCCATTCTCTCAGAACTCCAAGTATTTTACTTTTTTCTTAATCCTTTAGGATCAGGGCTTTTCTACTGTTTAACACAGGGAATTTTTTTTTTTTTTTTTAAAACAGATGAAACTGAGGTTTAGTGGATGGTTGTGCCAGGCAGAAAGAAAGTCATTGAGATAGGAGGTCAGTTTGTGATTCTTAAAGGGTCCTGGTTTTAGAGAAACAGAGACTAAAGCTCTGTCTTATTGGCTCAAAGTGGGATGGCTTCCTCAAAATCTCCTACTGTTACCACCTTTGAAAGCCTGCATTCTTGAAGATTCAGACACTATCCTGAGAACAAGACAGTGTGTATCTTGCAGTGAGTGCAAAATACAAGCATCTGTGTAAATAAACTTAACATATGCGCAACACTATGAACTGAACTGAAACGTTCCTTTAGTCCTTTCCTTTATTTCCTCCAGTCAGTTATTGTGAACTTGGTTTACTGCTTTCAACTTGAAATAAATATTCAACAGTGCTAGCGAAAGTATAGCTGTCAGCTTGGCTATAGTTTGCACCCATTCGAGTCCCAGCTGTTCGTTTCAAAATCCAAAGGACTTGGAAAGATGATTTGTGGATGTGAGTAGTTCAGGTGTGGGACTGGTGGAAAGTAGGTGTTCTCTGGGCTGCTTTAAGGCTCTCCCTTCTCCTGATGAGGACTGAATGAGGTCGTGCTCATACAAGCAGTTTGGCAGACAGTCTGGCACGTACTTCTGCCACCTGCTGCTGCAAGATTGGGATTCTGGTCAGAGGAAGCATTTGACTCCTTCCTTGTCTGTCTTGAGGTTTGCATGTCCTGCTGCACCCACAGGCTGGAGTTTTCTGCTTCTTTCTGCGGGAAATTATGAGAGAGCTTTTATCTTACTAGGCGTTCACTTTGACACTTTTTCCAGTTATGAGGAACGCCTGCATGTAAGCCAGGGTGCTTTCCGTTTGATGTTAGAACCCATTGCCGTGTTTTTGATATGCATGTCATTTCTGTGTTTCCAGAGCGTGAGAAGTGGCCCGATTACTGGAGCTAAACCTTTGTCTGTCTCAGTCACAGTTTTGTCACCAGCAGCATGGTCTGGGCTGTGTCCCAGTTCTCACTAGTACACCGAAAGCTTCAGTGTTCAGCATGGTGGTCATGCTATGTTTTTCTTTAAAAAAAAAAAAAACACTCGAAATGAAAAAATACAATACCTACAGAATCAGAACCATTCCTGTTTTGAGTGGTTTGTAGGCTGGGCAGATGAAATAATTTGCCACACGGGTAGGATAAAGGAAGGATGAATAAAAAAAATCGTGTCATGAATCCTGCATCAGTCTGCTAGGTTTGCTGTAATAAACCAAAGACTGAGTGGCTTAAACAACCAAAACTTGTTTTCTCACTGTTTTGGAGACGAGGAAGGTCAAGATCAAGGCGTCAGCAGGGTTGTTTCTCTCTCCTTGGCTTATAGATGGCTGTCTTTTCCCTGTGTCTTCACATGGTCTTCCCTCTGTACTCCTCTGTGTCCAAATTTCCCCTTTTTATAAGAATACGTCGTGCTGGGTGGGGGCCCACCCAGTTTAACTTAATTACCTCTTTAAAGACCCTGTCTCCAAATAGAGTCACATTCTAAGGTACTGAGAATTAGGACTTCAACACATGAATTTTGGGGGTACACAACTCAGCCCACGACAGATTCTATAACATAATTTAATTAATAATAATCTAAAAATGAAAATGTTATGCTTACCTCCCATTAAGCTAAAACATTGTAGTTGTCTGGAAGAAACCATTCATCTTAGATAGTGTTTTCCATCCACACTTAACTATATTTTGTATATATCCTCTAGATTTTGGGGGTATATATATCTTTATTTTTTAATTTTACTTACTTTTTACTTGCACAAATAATTCAAGAATACATTTGCGGTATTTTAGAGCAAATCCCAGACATAATGACATTTCTTTTAGATATATGTTAGTATGATTCTCTTACAGATAGGAATTTTAAAAATTTAATGTAAACATATTACTACTATCACACCCAAAAGAATGAACAATAATTACCCTCTGTATTCTAGGCCTTGGTAAATTTTTCTCAATTGTCTCAAAAAAGTCTTTTTATAATGGATTGGTTTGAATCTGGAACAAACCAACCCCACACCTTGTATTTAGTTGGTATGTCTCAAGTTTTATGTTTTGATTTGTTTTTACTCTAAAAGTTTCCTCTGCCCCACCGTTTGTGCCATGTCATGGATTTGTGGAAGAAACTGGGTCATTCATCCTTTTGAATTTCCTACATTGTGGATTTGGCCGATTTTATCCTCATGGTTTTGTTTAATATGTTCCTCTATTCTCCCATATTTCCTACAACCTGGTAGTGATATTTGAAGCTAAATATGTTTTTTAAGCTATTTGGCAGAAGAATCTATCCTTAAAACAATTCCTATTATTTGGAAATGAACTTACACCTCGCACAGTGGACATTGATCAGAAATAGGGAAGAAATTTTATCTTTGAGGTTATATCCAGGGCTTTCTAAAAGTCTTTAAGTGACTAGCTGTCACTGCAGGGAAGGTCAGATGAAAAGATAGTTGGTGGCTACAACTCAACTGCATGCATCAAGCTACTGGGAAGAGCCGCAATATTACCTTGTAAAAGTGCTGAGAACGCTGTTGGCAATAGTTAGACTTTAGTTTTCAATGATGGTTTTGCTGCTCTGATGCTGATTTTGGTGTCACAGGTGATCTATGATATTTTACAGCTAATGTAATTCCCCCTTTTTTTGGAGTACTACTTGGCTTTGACTTAGGAGTTCTTCATGTTTATTTGGCCTTGGATACCTTTGCGAGTCTAATGAAAGTTATGGACCCTCTCCGGGGAATTATAGACTCCACGCGTCAGTGATCAGTGGTCTTTTTCTAACACCAGGGGTAGCAAGCACATAAAAAAGGCACCACCCGCCGGGCGTGGTGGCTCACGCCTGTAATCCTAGCTCTCTGGGAGGCAGAGGCGGGCGGATCCTTTGAGCTCAGGAGTTCGAAACCAGCCTGAGCAAGAGC